ACGAGAAAGCTGTGAGCATGACGAAGAGGCTGTCACTGAGGAAGAAGCCGTCGGCGTGAGGAAGATAGAGGAGGGATAACGGGTAAAAGTCAAAACGGGGGTAAAATTGTCTTTAACTCATCTTTTTTTGGGTTGGGGGTTTTAATAATAAAAATTGATTTTTTAAAAAGAAGAGTAAAGAAATGTTAAGGTGGGGGTAAAAAGTCTAAAAAGCTCATTTTGGGGGTATTATTAATTTTCTCTTTTTTTTTACCAGTGAAAGTAAAGGAGAGAGAGAGATTCCCAATTTTATGACTTGGGCTTTTCTGACCTAATGCGGGCTCTCGGCCCATCGAAGCCCAAAAATTGATTACTTTGAGCCCGGCCCCAGTCCCAAGAATTGGCCCAGAACTGGGCTTGGCCCGAGTCCCAAGAAATGGTCCAGAATCAGGCCTGCCTCAGAAGCCTAGCCCAGGCCATTGGCAGTCCTAAATTAAGATCCTGAATCCATACAAAATGAGAGGGGACTCGTGCGCTTGCATATGTACAATAAACTTTTGAGAGAATTTCATATACACCTTTAGTCTTAATATGACTTTTGCAATAGTCCCCCGTCCCCTCTACACTCTTTTATCACTCTTTTAATATGAAAAATGATCCTATAGGATCCTCTTTTAATATAAATTACCATTACCAAATTAATGTAACCTGAAAAAGGACATCCATTTCTTTTAACTCTCCCAACCCTTTTTACCCCTCCCATGATTTGCTCCCTCCTCTTCATTGCCAAGAGAGAGAGAGAGCATATATAAAAGAGAAGAGAGCCAGAGGGGGGGTGTTGGTTGGGAGAAAGTCATGGGAGGGTTGGAGGTAAAAGAAAGAGATGTCCTTATTTGTTAACATATAGCAATTTTACATAAAAGAAGTAAGAAAATAGGGTAGACAAGGTGATGGGGCTAAGATGAAGGGAAAGTATATGATCAGACTGTTTATTTTTTACACAAGGAGGTTACAACCACTTTTGGGCTAAAATTGAGAGGTTGAAGGTATATCATTGACTAAGCTCAAAGTCTGAAATAAAATTTCTCGAGCTATGTGGCACACTCCAAACCATCGGATATCACATTCGATGGTTAGGAGTGATTGTGACCTTGTTTCAAGGTAAATAGTCTTATAACATACAATCCCAAGTAGCGAACTCATGTAAATGCAGGGCAAACAATAGGCGTTTGTACAAATTAAAAACATTTTGAAAAAAACTATTCGTGATCTTGTGGTTTGCCATCATTCTCATGATAAGGTTGTTTAGGGTCCTGAATGATGTGTCAATTCATTTTGTTAACAACTTTAGAGAATAGAATACACAAAACAGACATACAGAAAAGAAACTCTTAACGAAAAAGGACACTGTGAACTGAAAATCCGAGGAATCAAGTAAAATGAAAGTTGAAGGAAATACAGTTACAGTGCCCGGAAGAAAGTAGAAAGGTACCTGAGAATGTGGTGGTCCCGAGGTAAGTCCATTTGAACAAGGTGGTGGTCGCAAGGTGCATCTCAGGTTTGGGCCGTTTAGAAAAGGGGGTAAGGTTGCATGTGTTCTCTTTCTGCAACCCATGAACTATGGCAATTGCACTTTAATATGTCCAGACTTTCTTATATATCTCCAGACTTCGAATAATTAGGTCTCTCCAAAATGGGACACGAAGTGAAAGGATCATGGACATTTGGGAAACTCGGTAGAGTTTTTCATTCACATTTTAGAGAAGGGATATATCTTTTTCTTTGGGGTAGATGTCATGTTTGTTAGAGTGATGTAACCCATAGATGCAACAAAAAGAGATGAATCAAATGAAAAGCAAAAAAAAAAAAAAAGATGAAAAGAGAATAGGCTAGCCAAAGCCAGGATAGAAAATATTTTCCTGCTTCTTCATGGACGTCATAAGCAATTTTTTTTAAGGGTCAAACACTTGATGAGGCTATAAGTCTCCATGTCTTTTCTTACTACCAACTATGTCCTTTTGGGCCTGTCTCTGGCCATTTTTTAGCTTTCTACTTGCACCAACTCACACCTCCTAGCAAGTGAGGTACTAGGTCTGCACTGCACATGTCCAACCACCTAAGTCTATATTTTTTCCACCTAAGTCTATATTTTTTCATCGCCGTTTGGAGCTGCATCTAAATTTTTCCAAATGTATTCATTTCGAATTCTAATCTTTCTTGTCTTGTCGTTCATCCATCTCAACATCCGCAGCTCAACTACACTCATCATATGTATATATTGTTTTTTGACTGCCCAACATTTTGTTCTATAAAGTAAAGCTGGTCTCACAATTGTCTTATATAACTCTCTCTTTAGCTTCATTGCACATCTCAATTTTACTCATACAACTCTACTTCTATGTGCAACATCTTCTTCAATCTCTCTATTTTTCTAGCTTATTCAAAATATAAAAAATGTGATCTTTTTGGTTTTTCTTGGCTGACAGTTTTAACTACTTCTTCGTTTCTACTAGTATTATTACTAAATTTGCATTACATATACTTTGTTTTAGTCCAATTAAGTTTAAAGGGCAAGCTTTTGCATAAATCTTTTATCCAACCATCCATTTGGTTGAGATTGCCCCAATCACAATGTCACGTCTCTATACTATTTTATTTTTAATTTTTTCGACAAATTATTTTGATACCAAATTATGGGTGTCCACTCCCCTCTTAAACTTGCATTTGTAAAAAAAAAAATATTTTCAATAAATAGAATGACCAAAATACTCCTTGACATTTTTCATGGGGTATTTTGATAATTATATTTTATAAAATTATTTTTAATATTTTTTTTTAGGCACATCTCATTGAGTAGATGACATGTACCAAATTTCATTTCATACAATTTGTAGAAAAAAACTAAGAATAAAATACTCTTAGGTGTCGGATCTAGTTCAAACGGTTAGTTACTCGATCTAAATATAGAAACCTTTCTCAATTTTAAAACCTATAGATTCTAGATCATCCCTCTAAAGTTTTAACTTTGTATTGACGTTACTTTGGATCTTGTCGATCAAAACTATATCATCTGCAAACAACATACACCACAGTATCTCATCTTATAGGTGACTAGTTAAGCCATTAATAACTAAGACAAAGAGGTATGGATTCAACCCTTGATATAGACTTGTTATCACTGAAACTTCACTTATCTCTCTACTAGTTGTTCACACATTAGTTAGAACTCCCTTGTATATACCGTTCACCAAGTCGATATAATATTGGGATATTCCTTTCTTTTCAAATACGCACCAAATTAAAACTCGACGAATAAAGACTATGTGGAGGTCTTTTCCTTTCACCCTAAATATCTCAACTACCTAAAAGGAAAATAGCCTCAATTGTTGACCTCATTGGCATAAAATCGAATTGGTTTTCTAATATACTTGTTTTATGACTTAGTTATTACTCAATTACTCTCTCTCTCGCACAGCTTCATAGTGTGGCTCATAAGTTTAATCCTACGGTAGTTGTACAATTCTCTGTCTCTCATTTGTTATTGTAAATAGGTACTGCAATACTTTTCCCCTATTTGTATGATAGTTTTTATTCTCATTACTTTAGTGAAACTTGTCAGTAAGTCAATGCCGATTTACCCTATGCACTTACAAACATCTATTGGGATGTCATTTCATTCTAAAGCATTTCCTATATTCATCCTCTTCAAAGCTTCTTTTACTTTCAATATCCTAATTTTACGAATGTATATATATATAGCCGCCACCCTCTTTTATGCCAACAATTCCTTCAACTGTTGTGTTTCCATTGTGTCCATCATTTTAATAAGTTTTGAAAATATACTCTCCACCTTTCGTTGACCTCTTCATCCGACACAAAAACCCTTTAGACCTTCACTCTTGATGCATTTAATAGTAGTGTAGATTCATATATTTTTCTCTCATTTTTGCTAATTGGAAGATACCTTTTTTGTTTTCAATTTAATGTATAAATGATCATATGCCTATAATCTTACATCCTATTTATTTAACATTTTCTATTTTTATTTTTATATTATTCTAAATTTTGATTATTTCTATTACATTACTAAATTTTATAACATAATCATGTCATGCTAATAGTATTCAGAATCTCATCACTCCACCAAACTTCTTTATCAAAATTTCTTTTTTCTCTGACTTTTAAAACTTCTTGTGCCACTTTTTTTATTACAGCCAATCATCTCCTTCCACGGAACATCACCTTCACGCTCAAAAATCTATTTTCCATAACAATCCAGATGCACAACCAAAGAAATGGAAGGCCTAAAAACTTTCAAAAACTTACTTGGGCCCTTAGGCACAATAGCTAACCGTCAAAATCCTATTTATAGATGGCTAAAAGTGACTCTGACAATGTACCAAAGTCGTTAACAATCTTATCGCGAGTCCATTAATATTCCCCTTTGCTACATTACCCATGGGAGAAGAGAATTCATATCACCAAGGAGCACACATATCTCGAGAGATAATGAGTACAAACAAAAAGATGAGGTCAACGTGTGCGTGTTTTGAATGGTAGCGATTTAAATCTTTGGAGGCCCACCATATTAATTCAATTTCCTTTTGTAAGTAATGTGAAGTAGACAAAGTTTGGTGGTTTGGACGTCAAATGAAAAGAGCTTGTTATTGAAAAAACTTGCCAGTGTTTGGAATGTACATATTGAAAACTTCGACGTTATTTTACTACCCTTCCAATGTCGTCTAGTCATTCATTAATAAGTCTTGTGATCCATTAATAAGTTTTTTATGTATCCTTTCCCTCAGCAAAAACCTCCATGTTTCAATATAGCTCTCTCCCTAAAAAGCCAAACGCCCCAAAAAATCCTGAAAAGACTACCACAAAACCCCAAAAATCAACTAAACTATGAACGTAAAAACTAACTTCTTTTTAAAAAAAAATAATTTCTGGCCTTCAACTATAGAAAGCTTCAGTGCCCTTAAATTTCGAGATCTGCACTGCACTTCCATTGCCCTTCCTTGCTCAGAATTACTCTCTCATTGCATGAGGCTACGTTATTTAGTCAAAAAACGATGAGCCAGTGTTATTCATCGAAAGAGCCACACAAGGATACAAGATCTCGTAAAGGGAAAACCAAACACCTCTGAGAAAGAAAGCAGTGGAAAGAGAACCAGACTTAAATAACAAGTAGAAACAACACACTGATTATGTTTCATTCATCGACATTCCCTGAATTTAGATGATTTGTGTTAACTGATGATTCTGTGTGTGTGTGTGAGAGAGCGAGAGATGCCAACTATTTTTGAGTTTTGGCCTCCGGTTGCTGTGGCTTTACAATGCAAAACTCACCACCTTCCTTGCTGGCCAAATTCACAACCTTGATCTCGTTACACTGGTTTATGAACTTGCTCACCTCCTGATTGCCAAAAAAGATACCTTTTAGTTACCGCTGTTCAACATCAGTGTAGGATCCTAAGCAATGCCAGGATCCCGAGACACGCCAACAATAAACAGAGAAAGAAGCCAAATATTAGCTAATCATCTGCCAACAATAAACAGAGAAAGAAGCCACATATTACCAAATCATCCATCAACTGTCAGAAGTCGTTGATCTTTTTATCCTTTATTCAACAATAACATTATTATCGGTGTGGTTTGCATAAGGTTGCAACCTTAGTAAATTAAAATGAATTTTTAGACCTCTCTAGATATTTTATTTTATTGAAAAATAATTTTTATATGAGAAAAAATCAATTTTCTGGATTTATTTTAATCAAAGAGAAAATAAAATATTTGGAGGTTTTGTAAAATGTGTTTTAATATCTAAAAATTAATATTAATATACGAAAGGAGCAAAGGTTGCGAATCATGTGCACTCGTTCTAGGCACTAGTTCGTGAACTCGAAGCTATCAATATGAAGCCTCCCAAGCCCATGCAGATTTGTCACCTTTTGAACACTCTCCCAGCTTCTTGGAAGGTGTTTATATCATCTCTATCTGCCCGAGATAATACCCCCACGTTGGAAGAATTTTTTTACCTCCTTAAGGCCAAGGAAGAGAGGAAAGGAGCGCGTGAAGCGCCCGCATCTCTATATATGGTGCATGTGGCTAATTTTAAGCCTAATGCGATAGGCTTTAAGAAAAAGGTAAAGGGCAAGGGCAACGTTAATTAAAAAAAATAATAAGAAGGAAGAGAGAGAGCCCAAAGATAAGAGAGAGTGCTATACATGCAGTAAGATGGGACACCTAGCCAGATTCTGTAAAGAGAATAAGAATAATGTCAGGGGAATCACGAACACACTTGTGTTGTATTTGAATCTATGCTTGCTGATCCCAAGGATGCTACTTGGTGTTTTGACTCGGGTGCTACAGCCCATGTGTCAAACACCAAGCAAGGATACCACAATTTCCAACCCATGGACCCCAGTAAGCAGTTTATCAACATGGGGGGAAATCAAAAGACTAAGATCTTGAGCATTGGGGACTATGTTATGAATCTTAAATGTGAGGGAACAATGGTACTGAAACAAACACTTTATCCTCCCAAGATGAGAATGTGTTTGGTCTCAGTCCCAAAATTGGCCAAAGCCGGCTATGTCACAGTTTTTGCTGCTGATAAGGTGATTGTTAAGACTCGTGGAGAAGTCATTCTAACCGGTATGCTAAACAATGGTTTGTGTAAAAATGAAATAAAGAATCAAGTTTCTTATGTCTCGTCCCCAGAATGTGAGAATGATGTTTATTTGTGGCATATGAGATTAGGGCTCATTAATTGCAAAAGAATGGAAAGATTAAGGAAGGATGGTCTATTGGAAAATTACAAAGGGGATTTTTCAAAAGTATGTGAATCGTGTGTGCAAGGAATATTGCCAAAGAAACCCTTTATGAAAGCTCAAAGTCAGACTTGTAGCCAAAGCGTTCACCCAAAAGGAAGGGATAGACTACAATGAAACCTTTTCTCTAGTTGTTAAATTTCCGTCCATTAGGATCTTGATTGCCATAGCAGCCCATTTTGACTTTGAACTCCACCAAATGGATGTCATAATAACATTTTTGAATGGGGAGCTTGAGGAGGAAATTTACATGCAGCAACCTGAGGGCTTCATAGAAAAAAAGAGGACTTGGTATGCAGACTTTGAAAATTCCTTTAGGGCATTAAGCAGGCTTCGTAACAGTGGTACATAAAATTCCAAGAGACTTTGTCTAGAGCAAGATTTGTCTCCAGCCAGGAGGATTACTACATCTATGTCAAGGCAAGTGGGAGTTATGTGGCTTTTATCTCATTATATGTGGATGATATGCTGATTGTCAGTAGCTCGGTGGCTCCAGTTAGGGAGACTAAGGATTTCCTTTCGCAACACTTCGATACGAAGGACTTAGGGGAAGCATCATATATATTGATCAAAGAGATAACAAGCAATAGACAAAAGCGGACCATTCAACTTTCCCAGACCACTTATTGCAAAAGGGTGTTGGAAAAGTTTGAGATGGACAAATGTAAGCCCATATCTACCCCTATAGATAAAAAGACCAAATTAAGCCTGCAAATGTGCTCGACTAAAGAGTATGAGAAGAAAGCCATGGAAAGAGTCCCCTATCGCAATGCAGTAGGGTTACTCATGTATGCAATGTCATGAACCAAATCCGACCTATCATTTCCCATGAGTGTGATTAGCTGCTTCCAATGCAATCCTGGTTTGGAACATTGAAAAGTACTTAAGAGATTACTCAAGTATTTGAGAGGGATTGCGGATTATGAGCTCACATATAGAGGGGGTACGGATATAGTCATACAGGGGTACTAAGATGCGGACTTTTACGGAGACCCTGATGATGTCAAGTCGACATCTGCGTATGTCTTCATGCTTGGCCAGAGGGGCAGTTTCTTGGATGTCCAAGAAACAAGATGTGGTGGCACTATCCACTATGGAATTCGAATACATGGCGTGTTGTCAAGCAGCCAAGGATGCTGCATGGATAAAAAATTTACTCAATCAGCTTATGTTTGAGATTGTGAGATGCTTGTGTGTGAGAATCTTTTGTGACAACCAATCGGCAATATGTGTATCTAAAGAGCCACGTTTCCAAACGAAGTCCAAGCACATCAAGCCGACATACTATTACGTTCGAAACGAGGTCCAACTTGAAGAGATAGAGATTGCGTATCTTCCCACAGAGGCAATGGTTGCAGACCCTTTAACTAAGGAGTTAGTGACGAATGTGTTCGCCAAAAATGTACCAGGTATGAGGCTGAGAGAAAGTGAGGAAGAGAGATTGTAAGGCCTTCAAACTCCAAATAGGAGATGTTGGGTTTTTGTAGCCATTTAAAGGCCTTATGAGAGCATGTACGAAAAATATATAATGAGTTATTGACTCCAGGGGGAGTATGGTCCAGCTTGGACTGTAGGGCATTGATAATACCTTACACTCAAGTGAGTTTTGACTGGTTATGACTCAATGTGAATTCCAAAACCCGTAGTCATAGGCATCGTGTAAGCACAACCGATAAGGGTTTTGATGTGGGGTTACCTTAAATGAGGTCGGAGATGTGCCCAGGACAATTGGCCAAGGGACATGGATTTGACCCTTGTGTGTGATAGATGGCTTGAGAGGAAAAAGGCCTAAATACTCATCATTACCATCACACGGCATGTACACTAGATAGCTGTCCAGGAAGCGACCCTTTGGATAAGGGTGTGTGACATGTACATATGCGGAAGAGATGACACCCTGCAACACTGGATTGTGTTGGAAGGACCCATGAAGCAAACTGCTGAAATGGACCCTGGACTTGTCCTCAAGGAGGGACCTATAATCCATGGTCTAGGATCGTATCTACTACACTCACTAATTGACTTTGATGGTCCAATAATGAACCCTTACAATGGGTTGTGGGTCATGAGAACGGTTGGGTCAGTTTGAGAAGGTACAGTGAGGTGCAGTCTCTAGAGAGGATGGAGTTCTCATTGTTTTTGTCCTAATCCTAACTCTATGGATCCAATTCCCATAAAACTTTCTTAGATATGTTTTAATATGGTTTAATTATTTTTCAGATAATTAAAATGAATTTTAGATCATTGAAATATGATTTTTAAATAGAGAAAAATCAATTTCTTGGATTTATTTTAATCAGAAATAAAACTAAATATTTGGAGATTTTAAAAAAATTAATTTATTATCTAAAAATTATGTTTAAGGTATTGGGGGCCAATTGTGTTCATTTGGCCGACCATATTGTGGAGGTGTGGGGCCTACATGGCAACCCACCTCCTCCATACTTTCCTAAATTGAAAGATGGCAATTATGCCATATGTTGAGGGCAGCACAAGTAAAATAATGAAACATTGCAACCACTAGAAGCATTCAAAGGAAGATTTCTACTCCAATTGACATGAAATCAAGATTTAATCCTCGTTGGAATTCAGATTCAATATATTTAAGAACGCCTACCCACAAATAATGGGTTCGAGTTTCTAAAGATGTGTTGGATCGAGATTCGAAAATTAAGGAATCGAGTTTCCTTGGTTCTGATAAATGGAGATTCCGAAATTAAGGAATCGAGTTTCCTTAGTTCCAAAAAATGGTTTCTAAAGATGTCTCGAATAAAGATTCCGAAATTAAGGAATCGAGTTTCCTTGGTTTCGAAAAACGGCTTCCGTTGAGATTCCTTAACGGAAACATGGAATCAAGTTTCCGAACAAAAAACGCGAGGTCGGTGGAGAGATTTCGGTAACTTTGGTCGATACACAAACTACCCAGGCCTTTGCACATAGATGGGGATGTGGAGCTGACACCCTCCCTTCTTCCTACCTTGGTCTTCCTCTCTACCTCGGTAAACCCAAAAAAGCTCTTTGAAGCCACATTATCAACAAGTTCGAACGTAAGTTATCCTCTTGGAAAGGTCGATACTTGCCCCCAGCAGATCAATCAACCCTTATCAAGGCCACCCTCTCAAATGTCCCTATCTTCCAAATGTCTTTATTTCATATACTCGCCTCTGTAGCACATCGCCTAGAACCATTGATGCATAACTTCCTCTAGTCAGGAGAAGGGGTATCCAACAAACATCATCTACTAGCCTGGTCCTCAGTGCATTAGCCTAAAGCCTTAGGGGGGTTGGGGATCCGTAATTTGCAAAAGAATATCATGTCCCTATTTGGAAAGTGGTGGTGGCGCCTAGCCAACTAAAGGGACCAGCTTTGGCATTAGGTTTTAAGCCATAAATATTATCTCAACACCTCCCTCCGGTTCCTCCCTAATAAAAGGAGACATTCAGCATTTAGCATCTAGAAATCCTTGTTTCGCTGCCTCCACCTTTTCAAGTCATATATCTGTTTCCACCTAGGGGTGGGGACTAGAGTGAAGTTCTGGACCGACCTCTGCTTAGGAAATAGTCCTCTTTTGCTAAGTTTCCCCAATCTTTTTCGCCTTGTAAGGAATCACAAAGCCTGTATTGTCGACCTCATTGATTTAGTAGGCAACTCTAGATCTTGGAACCCAGATGTCCGAAGACCTCTTCGTAAGGAAGAACTCCCTGCTTTCCTGGAAGCTTCCTATTCTCTCAACACTTGGCCCATCTCTTTTGATGGGGACGACCAAATTATATGGAGCCCGATGTTTCAGGGATCTTCTCAGTCTCTTCTTTCTACTCCCAAATCTCACCCGCCCCCTACCCTGCACCCGTCGCAAAGCTCCACCATTGCCATGGCTTGGACCCCTGTCATCCCTCCAAGAATACAGGTCTTTGCCTAGATCTCCCTTTGGGAGAAAATTCTCACAGTCGACTAGCTCGAAAAAAGTGGCATCCAAATCAGCAATAGATGTGTAATGTGCCAATTGGAGGAGGAAACAAATGCACATTTGTTTATCCAATGTACTTTTGCAAGCACAATCTAGGACGACGTACTTCAACTTTTCGGTTGGAAGTGGGTGACACCGAAATCTGTCCCGAAAATGTTTCAACCAATGGGCCACCTCCTGTGATCCAAATTGGGCACTATGCTTTGGAAAGCAACAATTATGTCCACTCTTGGTCCGTGTGGAAAGAACATAACAGGATATTTAGGGGAATATAGTCTCTCAATCCCGTGGTCAAGGAATCCATCATATCCTTGGTGATATTCTGGGTGACCAATCATAACCGCTTCGAGCTCTTTTCAATATTGGACTTTCCACTTAACTGGTATTCAATCCTTCATCAGTGTCCTAGGCATCTCCCACGTTCCTCGCTTTGGAGACCCCCATACCATAAGAGAGTTAAGCTTAATTTCGACAAGTGCTCTCTCGGCAACGCAAGCCCACTTGGTATAGGAGGCTTATTTAGGAATCAGGAGGGAACTATCCCTTTCTCTTATGCATATCCCATTGGCATCACGGATTCCACCATAGAGAAAGCCCGTGTCCTCTTGGAAAGCCTCAAACATTTTAAAATTTTAACTCTTCTTGGAGCACAGCCTTGGTGGTCGAGGCCTCGAGGGTGATTCAAGGAATGTAATTTCCTGGGCCTCTCAAGAGGCTACACCTCCCTAGAGACTGATGACCATCTTTGATGAAATTTTCGCTATTTGTGCGCTTATGCAGGTCTCTTGAACTCATACTTGGTGGGAGGCCAACCAAGTGGCCGACGCATTGGCCAAACAAGGAGCTGCTTTGACTTGGCCCTAATCTTTTTGTTATAAATCATGTTTTTCCATTGTATCTATGTAATGTGACTAGTAACTGAATTAGTACTCGGTCTCTTCTCCTTTCTCTTTCTGCTTAATTTTGTTTTTGCCACTTTTTTGGTGGATTTTACCACTCCTTTGGGGGAAATTTTGCAGTATACTCTCTTCATTAACACAATGTTAACAGCATAAAAAAAAAAGTAGCCTAGACATACATAAAGCCTTACCAAAGACTCAAAATGACATTTTTTGCTGGAGGTACTAAAGAGATTCGGATAAATTTGATTCATACAGCTTCACAAGCTCATGGCTTTTTGTCATAGTCAAGTCTCCCTATTTGGGCTGAAGCACTATCTTATGTAGGAAATAACTACTTAGCACATAATAGAACTAATGTTAAATTTAATAAAGCATATTCCCAATTAAGTAACCATAAATTTAAAATACATATAATAAAATGTCGCGAAAGAAAGACACATGTCAGACACATTCCAATCTTTCTGACACCCACATAGCTGGTGAGCGTGTCAACACTTTAAATGGGGCCTATTGACACTTACAAGAATTGTCACTACGTGTATCTTGAACCTTGTTGTGATACACATCAAATGTGGCGACAATCGGCACAACTGTCCAATTCTAAAAGCGCATGACTAGAAATCTAACATTCACATAACCAATTTAAAAAAGAAAATCCAAGCAAAATTTGACACACATTCGTGTTAGAATTGTGATATCCAACATTGGAGTCACTTTTCTAACTATTCATTAAATTTATTCTGCATATTATTTCATAAATAAATATACAGTTAACCCATGTGCAGACCTATGTTACAAGGTCACCGACAAGAGAATTTGTGACTAATTCAAATTCAAAGAATCCTATCACCTTTCTACAACCCAAAGTCCAGTATGGCACATCCTTGCAAGCCTGTGCAATGCATGTGTCTAGCCACCTCATCTCCAGTCCACTATCCCGTCTGCTTTTATGGAACCAATTTGGATGGCCTGCGAAGTCGCCACACCAAGTTTCCTAATTGCAAAGGGGGCAGAACAGATTCCTATAGTGTTATCTCGATCCTGGATAATACTCGTTTTACGTACAACATCAGCTGAGTCCCTCTAGATAAGTTTGACGCACCAAAGACCACAAAACGAGAAATGCACATGTAAGGGGAGCTATGGACACCTTGTTGACGATCAAAACAGGCATAGTGTATTCTTACAAACAAACATATGGTCCATTTAAAGGAAACTCAAAACAATGCACATAATTCCATATACCACTTACAAAGCCATTTGTTGGACAAAAAATGTGAAAGGGTTCAAGGATGTAGGAAAGAAAGTAACTTTTCATCAAGATCTCCAAAGAACTGATTGTAAAATTCCCAAATATTTCGCAACTCATCCTATTGGTAACTGCTACTATATTTCCAGAGTAAAGTTCTGGCCCTGCAAGAGCTACAGCAGGAGAATCAAGAGAGAATGGGAAGAGGAACCTATTAGATAAAATGCTATATCATCAACACGAAGACATAAACTAACGAGCATATCACGCTTCACTCTCACAAACTTTCGTTTGGGCAATTGAAGCCACTTCAGAGTCGAAGGGGGGACAAAGAATTATATGCCCTAACTAAACTGAAACAAAAGCCATATTACTACTACAACAAACCAAGAATCCATTATAACTTCATGCACTTGCGACAACGCATCGGGTAGTGTTAAAAAAAGAAGATAAAAACCAAATAATTTTCTCATAAATCCCAGAAAATTGAAGCAAATAAGTCACAGGGGAAAACGAAAATATCCCAGAAAATGGAAGCCAACATGTCAGAAAGAGAAAATTTGAGGGATAAAGAGATTACTCTGTCCTTCTCCATATCTTTCGTGATATTGGAAGGCTTCTTAAATCTCTTTCCTGCAACAATGGGAAAACCATTAACAAATCGCAACCTGAAAAGGAAAAAGCAAAGTAGAGGAGAAAGAAGCTGAAACAGGGACTACCTTTGCGAGTGGATGGGGCTTTGCCATGGCGATTTACAGGAAGAGTTTTCTTAATGCGTTGGCCCTTGAACAGCTTATCTTTCTGCGTCATCTTTTATCTTCTTCTTCTTCAGACTCCGCGCCGCTGCTTCAACTTCAACTTCGGCCTCCTGCAAACCAAGGGATTCCCCTCTTTTTAAATCAAACCCCCACCTGTTATAAAAAATGCTTTTTGTCGCGTTTAGCGTGCTCCAGCGGGCTCATGTTTCTCGCTCAGCAGGCTCAGGCCAAAGAGCACATGCCAAAAGATTTCCTACTCCCGCTGGAGTAATATTATACATTTACTCCCTCCGATATAACACATTGATGGGATACCTTCTAGATTTTTGGATATATAATTTCTACGACTCAAAAACTAATCTCAATAAAAAAAATTCCTAAATAAACTATCTATGTATTAAAAAAAAAAGATTATATACAATGAAACCATTTACTTTTGATACAAGGTGGTCACAATTCTTTATAATCATTTGATGTGAAATTTGATAGTTTGGATGTGACAAAGCTCAAAAAAAATTATTTTAAAGTTTGAGCTTGCTTAATGAAATAATTACAGACATCTAATGTCACATCCAATGGTCAAGATTTATATGACCACCTTGTATCAAAGGTAAATGGTCTCATTCTATTCTTTCTCTTTAAAGAAAATGGCTCAAGATTAAGTAGAGAACGTCCAATTTTTTAACAGCTAGATCTAAGTATCAAAAAATTCAAAATTCAAAATATTTATTTTAAAAATAATCATCTACTATTTCTTACGTGGTTCCCAAAATTTTAGACTAAAATAATCTTTTAAATAGGTGTTTTGTCTGAAGGACTATACGCATAGTAGGCTCCCATGGAGCATAGTATACATTCTCAAAAAGATTTTGGATCTTTTGACTTTCGTAATATAAAATTACTCCTAGATTGGGTTTTACTCACTGGTTTAAAAAACAGATCGGTGTCTCGGATCAGACACCCCAAAAATCTATACGGATTGGTGAATCGGTGATTCGAATTGAGAATCGGTTGGATTAAGTATTAAAAAAAATCTAAAAAATTTATTAAAATTCATTATAAATATTGTTTTTTCAAAATCCAATAAAAAATGAGGGCACTACATTATTAATTTTCATTTTTTTTCATCAATGCGATATTGAGATGTTCTTTCCCTGTATGAACTTGTGTTAACCATTAAATTTACATCAACAAAAGAAAAATTCATAGAATTATCATGGATGAAGTATATAATCATAATGGGCTATAAAGAATGGATTAAATCGATGAAAAATAGTCACCAAAATCTCGAATCGACAAAAACCCTAATCCACTAAAAAAAACCCAAATATTTACAATCTAAGTAACTATAATCTAAAATTATTACGACCTAACTAACTATAATATTAGAGAAAATTACGTAAAAATCCGTTATCCTTTGTGTTATAACGGATATACCAAATAGTTTCCGTTATTACAGTTGTGTCTGATTTTGATCTTCTATAACATTATTTTTTTAAAAAGACCACTTTATCCCTTTTCGGATGTTGAACTGCCGAATTTGTAACTTTTTTGGATGTTTAACATCCGAAAATAGCCGCAACCTTTAATGTGTAATTTTCTATTTTCGGATGTTCAACATCTGAATTTTTGGGATTTTCGGATGTTAAACATCCAAAAACAGCGCGACAGTAAATTTAAACTTCGTCTTCCTTGTTTTCTGCATTTTTTGTTATTGGTTAAGTGTTCTTGCTGTGTGAGTGCTTTCGTACGCCTATTTGATCTCTCATTGGTAAAGAATAGTAGATAGTTCATAGATTTTGATTTTCAGCAATGTACGTCTTTGACAGACATCATTCTTGGATTTTGAAGCCATTTCACAAAGTGAAGGTATGTGGGTCGATTTTTGATATTTAGATTGCCACCTGATTTTTTGTTAGAGTTTATACTTAAGCATAGTTGTTAGTTCTTGTGAATTTGGTATAGATTGAACTGCTTGGTTTTTTAATGGTTTGGTTACTGCGCTAACATGAATTCTTTGTTTTTGATGGGATGATTTAGTTGCTTATGACAGTTGGATTCTTGTCTTTACAATGAAATGATTGGTTGCTTATCATTGTCGAATTCTGGTGAAATGATTTAATTACTCATAAAAGTTGAATTCTTTGGTTTTTGGACGTGGATGGTTACTTGGAAGGGAACTATTGTGTTTTTATTTGTTTATCTATCTAGGGTTTGGTTATTGTTTAGTTGAGGTCCATTGAATTGGACTCAGTGTAGTGTTTCATGTGGTTTTATATTTGTTACTGATAAAAGAAGTGGATGAAGATTGTGCATATCTGGTTAATTATGGGGTCTGTGTACTAGTTCTTCAAGTTAAGATATTAAAATGGATTTAAGAATGGGGTCTCCTTTGCTTTTTTTCACTTGGTTTTTGGGTGATATTGGATGGTGAATGGGATACTTTTTCTTTACAATGGGTGATGAACTGGATAGGGGACTGGTTTTTCGCTTTAGGTAATTATAGAAGATTTTTAGTGGTTTTAGGTTGAGGAGCTTGAATTGGATTAAACTAGGGATATATGTGCTTCTCTCTTTATTTTGTGGATTTGGGTGATTAAAGATGGTAAACTGGGCCAGGATGGTTTATTCAGCTAATAGAGATGGTTTCAAGCAGCGAACAAAATTCATTTTGAGTAAAAAACTTCATCAAGTGGGCAAGTTTTATAAATTGAAAATTGGAAAAAAAATTTTTTTTTTTTTTCCGTTGTGTATAATTTTTTGTGTTGATCTGACAAGGACAATGTTCCTTATGATATGGTGCCATTATGACATACTTAGGTGATGACCTGGGTTGGATTCCCATTATAGGTGTTTTCTACATAATTCTTCATAAAAATTTTGAAGAATTCTTTGAATTCTTTTTAGTTACCTGTTTGACTCAAAGAATCAATTCTTTTTTTGGCCACCATGTTCATTGATTGATTGCAATTTTCAAGCATATGATCCTGAGTTGGACTAGCATAGCAATTTCATTTTAGCACTGTTCTTATTTCATCAATGGATTTATCTACCTTTCTCTAGTCTTCTTTGTTTTGGGTGGTTGGATATAATGAATTTTGGACAAAGCAAATTTGTAATTACCAGTAATTAGAAAACCACTGGGCCAACTAGAGACTTTCCCAAGTTGGCCTGGACCAACTAGAGACTTTAATTCAATTTCAAGGAGCAATCAATTTTTCCGTTTAATAATAGCAGGTCATTATTGTTTTTTTGTTATTCAGTTAAGTTTTGCATATGTAACCTTATGACGAACATGGTGACCATATGGGATTTCAGTGAATGTGAATCGTGTACATCCTGATGAAGGATATCCAGGAGGTCCTCAAGACCATAGTTTGCTGCAACTTCATCCAGAACATTCATCATATTGCATATGGGAAGGACATGTATATGCATATATTCATCTGCATATTCTAGTAATTTGTTATTTTTCAATAAATTGTAATCAGATTCAAACATCATATGAGAAGTACATGTATATGTATTGGGACTAATATGTTGTCTATTTGTTGTATTTTAGGAGAAAAAAGAAATTAGAATTGATGAGAAGACTTATCAATTAAACGAATGGCATCTAACAGAAGAGCAAGTTCAATTAGTAAACGTGTCTGGGTTGGGTGCGTTATCTATAATTCGCCCAAGCCGAATTGATCATCCTTTGGTCTCAGCCAATGTAGAGAGGTGGCGTTTTGAGACCAATACATTCCATTACAACATTCATATTGGTGAGATGACACCAACGCTATTTGATGTATGTGAGATATTAGGACTGGCTGTGGATGGCGAGCCAGTTACATGTCGTCCTATCAGTGACATGCGACAGTATATAGAAGACAATTTGGGTATAGTCCCTGATGGCAACCTGTCAGTCCTTTGAGGCATACATGGTTGAAGGAGAATTTTAGGGAATTGCCACCTGATGCAACCGTTGTTCAAGTTTATAGATATACTCGAGCATATCTGTTAATTCCTCGTCAGTGTCACCATATTCGCTGATGCATAAGTTTCAATAGTGCCAACAAGGTACTTGCAATTTTTTGAAGATATTGAGGGGAGTCAGCATATATGCTTGGGGTGCTACAGCCTTTGCATTCCTTTATCGCTCATTTGGAAAAGCTTGTACTTTCAAGCAAAGACATTTTAGTGGTTCAGCCACTCTTATGCAGGTAACCTTTTTTTTGATATATGACATAAGCGTAATAGTTTAGATTGTTTTTCTAAAATATTTAATATTTATTATATCTTAATTTATTGTAGTGTTGGTTGTATGAGCATATTATGCATATAAGGCGCATACTGCATAGTATCTCTCCAAATATGCCTAGGGCCAAAAGATAGGAGCCACAGAAGAATTATCATGGCAATCCACATAACCTAATGCCTCCCATCAGACAAGAATTTGATAACCTCCAACCTAATGAGGTTAGTGTGTAATTTGATATTGATTACTTTCAAATGTACTTAAGTATTTGTAATTATTTTTATTAACTGATTGCATATCATATAATAGGTACTATGGAATCCCTATTTCAAGCCTGATGATGTCATTTCAAATTACAGGTAGGAGGCATATCAATTTGCAATGTGCATAACAACGCTCATATTTGACTATATTGTTGAGTCGTACATGTCAGATCGTGTACGCCAGCAATTTGGAGCTAAACAGGGCTTTCCTATAAATCCCTTGGTTGTTGGTAAGAGGTCTAGCACACAAGGTGGACATCGAGATTGACAAATTGTGAATAAAGATAAAATCCAATAGTGGTGGACTAACCATTGTCGCATGATGCTTGATATTGAAAAAGATACTGACAATGGGTTGCCTTCAGAGGAGTACAAGGCCTAGTACAACCTTGTGTCACAACCTATAATAATAAACCCAAAGACATATTGCAATGTCATAACCAAGAAGAAGATGTGGTTCTTGCTCATGAACCACAATATATAATGAGACCTCAAGGTTATGAGGACCAGTTGATATGTTTATATTCACCTACTAATTTTATAGTATTGTACTTAGCTATTAGTTCCATTAAATTGTTTAAATATATTAATTACCTATCTTGTTTTTGCAGGTTAGTGCAGTTCAGGCATCTACA